GCAGGGTGGACTCGGGGGCGCCCCAAAAAATCCCTAAATTTTAAAATCCCAGTCTTCAACTAGATTCGAACCCAGGCTCGGACGCCAAGAGCTTAACCACTCAGCCACCACGCCCCCCCCCCCCCCCATTTGTCTTAATTTAATTCTTGTTGGTCTTCTAGTTAAGCCATGAAACGACTATGGTTTGTCTCGTAGAGCCATTTTCTGGAGAGACATACCAGTCGATATATAAGATAAGATATTCACTGAATTCAACAGCTACAGAAATAGCACTGTCGAGCTATACTAACTCAATAGCTACAACAGTGACGTAGTGTTATTTCATTTTTAGACATACTAAATTTAACAGCAAGCACTATTGAGACATAAGCTTTGCATGTTTCCATTTTCACAATGCTTCTTGATAAACTTTTAAAAGATACTCGAGAACTCCGCGAGCTCATTTTATTCTTTTAATTATTGGGAAGGGGAATATAACTCGTCTAAACTAAACAAGGCTTACAGTTTCCCTTTAGATTTGTGAAGCTTGTAGAGCAGTGTTTCTCAAACTAGTGTGCCGCCGAAGATTTGCAGGTGTGCCGCGGGAGTTTTCAGAACGCCACACGTGCAGGCGTTACACAGGTCTGCCTACTGTTAAATTTTTATTTTACGTTGCGATGACATCTCCACTTGCAATGACCAGTAATAGTAGTGGATCGCTCCATTATGACGGAAAGGGCTGTTATTTATTCAGGTTATGGAATTTTTTAACTATACATATATTATTATAATGACTCAAATGTAGGCCGCCTTAGCAGACCCACAGCAGTTCTTGAATTGGTAACGATATATAATAAGCGAAGCGTTTCTTGTAAATTTTTTTAGGTGTATGCTAATAATAACAAGTTATCACTAAGCCTTATTCATTGTTATCCATGGAGAAATACGTTAGCAAGAATGAAACTGCGAAAGTGTTAAATGAAAAGCAAGGAACCAAACGAAGGTACAAAGAAGATTATATCGGATATGGTTTCATATCTTCGGGACCTGAAGATGCTCCATTTCCTTTCTGTCTGATCTGCAATGCAACTCTGTCGAATGAGGCGCTTGTTCCAAGCAAATTGAAGAGACACTTGGAAACAAAACATCAAGCTATAAAAGTGCAACCGAAAAAATACGTTGAAAACATCAGGGCTCAACAAAATAAACAAGCTAAGAAACTTACAAAGTACCTAAAGCTGCCAGAAAAGGGATTGATTGCAAGTTATAAGGTTGCTCAGTTATTAACAAAAACGCAAGAAAGCACACACAGAGGCTGAATCAATCATTGCACCAGCTTTAGCAATAGTTGTTGAAACTATCATTGGACCCGATGCCGCCTAAAAAGTTAAAGTTCCTTTGTCAAATGATAATATCTCGCGCAGAATTTAAGACTTATCGTCAGATTTACAAGATCAAATCTGCGAACACTTCGACGTGACTGACGATGAAGTGTCTCTGCTGTGGTCTCTTCAAGTTGATGAATCCACTGACGTTAGCGGCAAAGCCCAGCTGCTAGCTTTTATTCGGTTCATAAAGAATGAAAAATGTGTCAACGAATTCTTATTTTGAAAAGACTTACCAACTACGACCAAAGGCGAAGATATTTTTAAAGTGGTGAACGAAAACATTTTGCTCTTCAAACTACAGTGGAAAAACTGTGTCAGCGTTTGCACCGATGTCTGTCCTTCCATGCAGGGAAATAGAAAGGGATTCGTCACTCTTGTGCGTCAAGAAAATCCAAATGTATTAGTTGTTCACTGCATGATCCACAGAGAAGCTCTTGCCTTCAAATCTTTGCCGAAAGATTTTATGTCTGTTCTGGATCAAGTGATTGAAGTTGTAAACTTCATCAAATCTCGACCGCTTACATCCCGACTTTTCTCTCAGCTTTGTGAAGCAATGGATTCAGACTACAAATGTCTCCTGTATGATACCAACGTTCGTTGGCTCTCCAGGGAGAAAGTGTTAAAGGTGTCGTCCAACTCAAGGCTGAGCTGATTTCATTCTTGGAGGTTGAAAACAAAAAAGACTTTGGATTTTCTATTCATGACGAGATCTGGTGGGTTAAGGTGACATTTCTCTCTAATTTAGTTGACAAATTAAATTCATTGAATTTAAGTCTTCAAGGACCATCGGAAACCATCATCACTGCATCCTCAAAACTGAAGTCATATGGTGAAAAATTGTCTTTGTGGCAAAGTAAGATCTCGAAGGGAGTCTTCGACTGCTTTCCTACTTTCTATGAATGTGCTTCAAATAAAGAAATCACCCCCGAAATTCTGGACACTTTGACACACTTGCAGTCAGCATTGCAGCATTACTTTCCAACAGTTGGAAGTAAAGAGTATGGATGGGTCAGTTATCCATTTGGAAACAATGAAGTTACAAATCTGACAACTGAAGAAGCAGAGCAGCTCATTGATTTAAAAAACGATGCAGTTCTTAAGTCAAGTTTTGCCGAGAAAAGCCTGGATAAGTTTTGGATTTCAATCAACAAGTTATATCCTGCAATCAGTTTAAAAGCAATCAAAATAATTATTCAATTTGCATCTTCATGGTTTTGTGAGTTTGGATTTTCAGCATTGCCTGAAATCAAATCTAAGAAAAGAGAGAGACTTCTTACAATAGACGATGAAATACGAGTTTGTTTGTCGTCTCTGGAGCCTCGATTAGATCGCATTTGATCTAAAAAAAAACAAAAAAAAAAAACAGGCAAACCCTTCAAATTAAATGTAATACTTCAAAGCAGGTAAAATACTTTTTTTTCCTTTTTATTATAAAATAATTGTTGCTCTTCGTGGTGTGCCGCGAAATTTTTGTAGTTTTTTTTTACTGTACCGCCAGACAAAAAAGTTTGAGAAACCATGTTGTAGAGTGTAGACAGTAGCATTGTGAGCTTGGTCTTTGAAAGTAGGTCGTGATGACAGAGTGGTAAGGTGCTTGGCTTCCAAACCGAGGCTTATTGTGTTGTATGTTAACGTCTGCTAGAAGTCACTTGTTGCTTCCTTTTGGTGAAAATGTCGACATTTTATTTTGAGTCTGGTTTGTTGAAGGTTTATGACATCTGCACAAGTAGGCTTATGTTTAAGATTTTTAAAAAAAAAAAAATTATGTTTATTCAGTACTGAAGAGATTACTTTGCCAACAACACATAAGACACTAACATAAGTTAAAGTAATAAAAGTTATTCATAAACTGTACAAACTTGACGATCACTGGGTTGTCCATTGTCCTTTGCTGTCGACAAAAGATGTTTTTGGGATTAATTCGGTAGGATCTGTACTTATTTCCTATAGAAGCCCAAAGACTCCAAGAAATATAAATGGTTATTCAGTACTGAAGAGATTACCTTGCAAACAACACATAAGACACTAACGTACGGTTTAGACAACAGTTCACGTTAAAATTGTTAATAAACTGTTTCAACTGGTTTATCACTGGTTTGTCCATTGTCCTGCATTGTGTATTGGCTTAGATTTAGATACGGGTTGGTTTTGAATAAATTGCATAATTTTATTATTTCGGTGTTTATTGTTTCTTTTTGCTTAATTTGGGGCCACCAAATACACTTCGTCCAGGGCCTCAAGTTACCTAAGGCCGGCCCTGGTGTAGGCTTACTTTGGTTATAGGCCCATTATCTAGCGATTTAGGTGGTTATTTTTTTAATTATAGTTTTGTCTAGATTAATAACCTATATAACTTCACCTTTTAGCCAAAATCTTCACTTTTATTAGACAAAACAATAAAATAATTTACCAAAGATTCAGTGCGGTTCACAGACATTTATTGTATAGGTCTATGATGTGGTTGTTGAAATGGGAGATAATTCATGTCCACAAACAACATCTAAACCTAAACATTGCTTTCTGATTAGTTTCACTTTCATGTTCCTGAGTATGCCAACTCTGGTCACTGCAAATGGATCTACTCAATGTCGTATGGCGGAGGTTTGGTCGGAGGGGATACAATTTCTGCCACTGTCAAAGTCGGACCAGGTTGTGCTGCCCTAGTCAGCACACAGGAATCTACAAAGGTGAAGAAACGCTATTCTTTAGTTTAGCCTACTGTATCTACGAGGCCAATTGGTATATATTAGTGTGTCTTGAAAATAAGAATAAAACTATTGTTTTCATCTGTTTTTGTGTGTTTCTCTTTATTACATTAAAAAAAACAATTTACAACATTTTGGACAATCCCCAAATTGTATTCATAATAGTTTCCAAGATTTAACAATATTTTAATTTGGTTTCATAAAAGATCAGAATATTGCTTATTGTTTTTTTATAACTTAGATCAAGATTTTTTTTAGTATTGTGGTAATTGAATGATAATTCTGCGGTGTAAATGAATTACTTGTAGACTACTTAAATTGCAATTTGTTTTCTAGGTATATCACTGCAACTACAGCGGGGAGACAACTCAGACCACTAGCTATGATATTGGTGATGGGAGCCTACTCTGTGTTTTGCCAGATGCAACAGTTTGTTACAAAGATGCTAATTTTAACCAAACACAGGTAATTAGGTCAACTAATATCTAGTCTTCAATATGTAGCAAGATTAGTGCATTTTGTTATTAACAAGTGTCTGTTTCAAAAACAATAATTTAATTATTAGCCGTTTACATAATAATAATGGCAATATCTTTGATAACTAGGGCTAAGATCATGGAGAAATAATGCAGAAATAGTGTTTCACATGACTACTCCCTAATAACAATAGTAGTAGGATGGCTGCATGGTCGTTTGGATTTATTGATGTTTCCAGGTTCAAACCCTGCTGCTCCCATCCCCCGTTGTCCTGCGGGAGGTTTGGACTAGGAAGTAAACTACCTTCAACTCTGAAGGAACATGTAAAACAAACAAACATTTTTTTTTTAGTCTACACGTCACTACAGGTACAAAAAACTGCTGGGAATCAGACTCTTGGAAAATCTCTAAACTGTCTAGATCTATATAGATCTATAGACACTGGGCTTACCCTTAGGCTTATGAAAAGGTGAATCATGCCCTCTTTGATCCCATTCTACTCACCTTAAGCAGACCCTGTTAGTCAGTCTATAGCATTTTACATCTCAAAAGACAATCTTTTCCCTTTAGAACTTCTCATCATGTGATGCCTGACAGACCCTACTGTACAACCCAAAATAAACTGCACTCTATATGGCAGTGCTGAACAGCTGAGAAAAAAACAAACAGCATGCTAATTTTTCTTTGGCACAGCCTGCAACAGAGCCTACAACTCAGCATCAAAAAGCTGGCTAAAGAAGAATATACCTAGAAAAGAAAAGAAATGAGTTTGTACATTTATAAGTCACCACTCTGGCTGGTAAAAAGTAACCTAGGTTTTCCAAAAGCACTTTTTCACTTGCCAAATGTCATCCTTCAACATACAGTGGAGGAAGTATAAAGTAAGGGTTGTCCAAAGAAAAGCTGGTTGGACAACAATTAGGAAGATTATTATTATACTATCACTGAACTTTTAAATTGTTTATTGCTGTTGATAAATATTTGCATATTTAATTTCATACATTAGGCCTTATAACTATAGCAGGATGTACGTTGGTGAATTAGTTTATTTGTTGCAGACTGTCCATTAGTGTCTTTCTTGATTTAGCTATTTTTAATTTTCAGTAGTTAAAATGGATTCTAGTAAATCTTTTGTTCTACCATAATGTACAAAAAGATTAATTACAGAAAAGAACAAATCCAATAACAGAAATTGCAGATACCTTGATTTATAAATCCAACAAGAATATTCACATCTGATAGAATCACAATATTGAAATCACCCAAGTAGATTATTTGTGATAAAATAGTAATATAAATTAAACATATCAACTGAATCTATACAGAACTCTTCTTTAAAAATCTGTTTGTAGAGAACTCGTAAAATATAGATACTGTACATATTAAGGCATCAAAAGCAGTCTCAATCTATAAATGTCCTTTCAGACATCATCTGTTATCTAACAAGCTAGATTTTTTCTTTCTGTCTTGACATTATGTGAAGGTACTTGTAGCTGTCTTTGCACTAAACAGGGTCAAGGTTAGGTCACCATTTAGTGCCTATTTATTATTGACAAAGACCAATGAGAAACCTTTTTTACATTTCGGTAATTAAAATAGGTAACAATTGAAGACTTAATTATGCCGTTTTACAAATGCAAGTCAAATTAGAAATGCATTCTCACAGATGTTTAGTTAAGCTTTACTAGACCAGGCAATGAAACTGAAATTTTTATATTTAAAACAAGAGTTTCAACTATTCAGCTATCATATTACTTTGTAATATAAAGATTATCACATTGACACTGTTGATTTCCAGTATTTCAGTCACACATTGTTTTGAAAAAGAAATAGTTACAAGACTTCTTAAATTAAATTTTAAAAAATTATGAAATAAAGAATAAAATATTTTACTTCTATATCTTTTAATAAGGTTGTTCAAATGAGACCATCTTCCAACTTAGTCCTACTGGACTGGATGCTAAGTGGACGCTTAGCCCTTAATGAGTTTTGGGCTTTCAAAAGGTAACTGTAGCAAGCACATGAAACAAAATTAGAACTCAAATAGAAAAGTTTAAAGTTTGCAAATAATTGTTTTTACAAAGGTTTCATTTAATTGGATAAAGACAGTGTCGTTTTCAATAATAGAACTATCAATTCAGCTTCTACTAGATTTCATCTGCAAACTTATTGGTAACATTTGACTTTAATAGTTCATAAAAAAAAAATCATCATCACTAAAGAAGACACGATAAAAAAACAACTAGGCCTACTAGAAAGTAATATTTAAAAAGTAGGCTTACAATGTTTCTGGTGAGCTACAGTACATTTTGGTTTGTTATAGTTCTAAATTATAATGTTTTTTTCTTTGGTGTAATGCACAAATTGTAAGACACATTTCCATATGGACAATAAAAGATTATTAACATTATTAGTATTAGTAGTAGTAAACTAAAGGCTGTAAAAGTATTATTTTAAGTATCTGATGAAACAACTTTTACAGTAGTTGGCCGTTCTTGCAAAAATATTTGAGGAACTCTATTCACACTTTATGCACCAAATTTGGTTTAGATTGTACTTGTGAGAAGAATGGCTTGAGGAGCTCTTACCAACACATACATAAGCTAGTATATTTTTTTAAAGCCTTTGATATATAATCCCTTGTTCATGAAGGAAGTTGTCAAACTTGGTCACTTTTTTTATTATTTAGGTATGAGTTTGAGATTTTGAAAATATTTAGGATTGAAATGGATAGATTGATACAAAATAATTGCAGTAAACAATGAAAATGTCCTCCTATAGTCGGATGTATCATAACCCTGAAATCAATGGCTCAAACTTATTTAATAAGAATTCAACTGAACGATGTGATGTGGTGGTCAAGTGTTAAATTAAAGTCCACCCAGCTCTAATTGGTACCTGACTTAAATAAATTATAGCTTTTAAATAGTGCTACTTTCATGCTGATAGCATGCTCAGATCGCTTTGGTCCAATCTCATTAGTGGACCAGTGGGGAGGAGGGGGTATCTAGGAGTTGGTTTTCCGTGCTGCCTTTAGGCGCTGAGTAAACACAACTCTGCTCAACCTCGAACCCCTTCATAGGTAGCCAAGCCAAGTTCAAACGCCCTTGGCCTCTCGACCATGTTTGGGGAAGTAAAGGGGCTTGGTCATTGTGCTGGCCATAGAAACAGATAAGCTTACAATTTCTAAAAGCAGTGTCATTTTTTAAAAGGGATTAAGATTGTGTCATAGTCTGGTGTGACTCATTTGAATTAAGCGTCTTATCTAATAAAAAAATATCTAAGCCTACCTAGTGAAAAAAAAAATTAATCTAAAATTTTTGGTTACCTTATGCACATTCATTATGAAAATTTACTGCCAAGAGACACAAATTTGCTTTTTCTAAATAAAAAGTAACTATTAAAAACTTTTTAGGTACAAGAATTCTATTGAAGTGTATGTGTCAGATGAGCTTATAATCAAAGATTGTACAGATCTAGCAGACACTCCGCAGCTAACTGTCTCACAAGGGATGCAACACTTCCACGTAAAACTAAAATTACTTTCTATACTATTAATGTTAAAACCTTAAATATTTATCAGTAATCAAAATGATTATTTTATTACAAGAAAAAATAATTAAGGAAGTAACTATAAAATTTAATTTGCAATTTCCTTTTAAATACATTTGAACCATGATTTGAACTAACTGTATTTTAAAAAATTCTTTTTGTAAATATTGAAGATTGAAAAAAATTTCTAAGCAACTTGACTTTTCTTAGTATTTTCCAAACTCCAAGTAAAATGCTTCCTTTAAGAAATCCTATGTGAAAACTATTTTTAAAAAAGAATGTTACTTTTTTTTTTTTTATTTATTTATACTTTGTCATAAGTAAAGCATTAGCCCAATCGTTTTGGTCCTATTTTTAAATAACTACATCTTTTTTCTACAGGTGTATGGGACACTATTTGTTCTTGGCTCTGGACTTCAATTCCTAGCTCAACATCTTCTTGGAACCTATGCCAGGAAAAAAAATTATAGTAAGAAAATTTAAACATTTTATAATAAATATATATTAATTTTTTGTTGTTAATCTGACAGGTTTTTTTAAAAATGTGTTTGATATACCGTACCTCTTTTATTTCTGTAAAATTTATTGGTTTAAATGAACAATTAGATTATTTTATAAAGCCTTTGCGAAACTATAATTATGGTGAATTGTCTCCCTTATTGAGATTAAACTAGATGCCCTCCTTCTCCCTTCACTATTGAGTTCATTAAATGAGTCACTGATAACATTTGAAAAACTAATCCTATCACCATGCCAATTTTCTATTATCATGTGGGCGACTTATAGTGTCTTTGTACTGTTCAACATGGCTCTTCTAGAATGATTCCCATCTAAACTTTTTTCTAAATCTTACTTAGACTTACTTAGACTTAGATCCTCTCACACCGTTCAGTGCATAGGCAACAAGCTATTTCCACAGAGATCAATCATGGACTATTTCCGCAGCCTTTTCCCAGCTGCTGCCTACAAATATTAGGTCTTCTAGGAAGGCTTGACACAATTTCATCTCATATGATGTTTGGTCACCTTGCCACTTAGGGGAGAGTGCCCATATGGTGACGGATTAACACCTCTATTGTTGCCTCTGTATGTTATTTCAAGAATCCTTCTCTGCCATCTCTGCTGATCCACTTTTTCAATCTTTCTTTTTTGGATGGCTTCCACATCTTGCAAGCACAGGTGGAGGAGGTCCATCTTGGTCTGCAGGCTAATTGATTTATTAGCCTGGATTTGCCAATCATATTTATTTTTTTATATATTATATCTTTCCGAAAGCTCATTAATGTAGAAAAAAAACCATTTTGATCATAAAAACAAATATAAAGTATGCTGGTTTTAAATAACATTTGATTTAAAGTACAATGAATATTCATAATAAAAACCAATTCAATATTAAAGTTATTTAAAGTAATAAATCATTTAAATTATAAACAGATTTCTAGTACTAAGCTTTAAATGTATTTTATTGTAAAGTGTCAATTGAATGAAAATATTGTAGTTCCTTGTTTGTTTGTTTTTCAGATGATGCCCATGATCAAAACTTAATTGTTTCCATTAGTCCAACTCAGTACACTGTAAATGGTGACCTCATATCTGGATGCTACTTGAGATTTTTGGCATCAGACATGAAGAATGTGAGATGAAATTTGTTTTCAAGTTGTTTTAGTGTGACATAAACAATCTATAAACAATATGTTTTAGTGCAAGGCTTAAGTCATTGTGAAGGTTGGTTTTATGTTTCAGGCAGCCAATGTTATTCAAGAAATCACATCATCACTGGTAGAAATCTTGGGAGGAGATCCCTTCGAAAGGAAACTGTAGTCATCCCCAGTTTTGGATACAACTATAGAAATGAAGATTGAAGAAGCTAGCACATATTTCTGCCTCTAAAAGCTTTGAGAACATCGATCAAATTTCTGCTTTGAAAAAGTGACCTTGATGAATCCTGAATTAAAAGCTTATGACTCTAAATGCAAATTTAACATTTTATTGTGATCACTCTGTTGATGGACATCTTACACAAGAAATTTGACAATTGTATTATAGTATACTTATTATTTATTGTTCAATTTTTGCTTTTTGTCTGTGAAACTTTGACGTCCATCAAGAAACTTTTATAACGGTATCATTCGTGGCATGTTGAGAAACACATTTTTAAGACATTTGATTACTTCATACATTATTGTATGTTTTGTTTTACTTGTACACATAATA